TCTTCTTAAAAAAAAAAAAGAAATGTACATAGCTTCTTAAATTGACAAGTCTAGAATCTTTTGTCTTCCTATTCCTGGCACAGTGTTCTTTCCATGATATCATTTTAATTGTTGAAACAAATGTTAAATTAGACCATAATTATAATAGTAGGTCTTGAGAAGATTTAAGAAGAAGCACTTGAATATTTTTGCAGCATGTGGATATGTAATAAATATTAGGAATGATAGCATTTGAGGAGAAAACTAGAGAATAAAGGGAAAAAAGGTTGTGTTTATATTTTAAATTGGAGCCTATTTTTCAACTTCAGAGTACCAAATTAATTAAAACTATTATTTAAATGTTTGTGTTTTTCAGTTATAACTTGTTCACAATGTGTTCGGGGGTGTTTATGCTCACATGCACTTAAACTTCATCACTAAGATGAAATAGATTATCAGCTCTGGGAATCAAGCTTATACTAAACTTGGGTGACTCCTAAGTTGCATCCATCACACTGGAGTGAGAATTGACTTGCATGCTATTGCTTTTGGTTTCTGCAGGTTTTGTAGTGCATCCCTGAGCATGAGCGCAGAATGAAGCGGCGTTTGGATGACCAGGAGTCACCGGTGTATGCAGCCCAGCAGCATCAAATCCCTGGAAGCACAAAAGTTTTTCCTCACTGGCACCAGGTGCTTGCCCCCACCCCTCCTGTGTATGATGCAGGGGCAGAGACCATGCAGTCAGCCACAGGAATTCAGTACTCTGTAACACCCGGCTACCAGGTAAGCTGGAGCCAACCAGGGGACTAGAATGAGGGAGGAGGAATAATTTTAGACAATTAGAAAACATTTCTAAATACTGAATTAGATATTAAAAAATTGTGGAGTATGTGTAAGGTAAAAAAAAAACAAACTTGTGTACTCACCATACAAGTTTATGGAAAGAGAATGTCATGGCCTTTGAAGTTCCCTGTGTATCCCTCTCTGATCCCTTCTTTTCCCTCACTTCAGAGGTAGCCACTAATCTAAACTTTGTGTTTATCATTCCCTTGACTTTATTTACTTAAAAAAAATCTCTTAACATAATTGTTTAGTTTTGGTATTTCTGAAATTTCATATAAATGGAAACATTTTCTTTGATGCACTTTATTTTTTAAACTCCGTATTTTTATAGATAGCTGTGATAACACCGTTTTTACTCTGGTATGAATTAGATGCATGTACTCAATTTATTTGTCAGTTCTACTGTTGGACTATTGGGCCGTTTCCAGGTTTTTGCTTTTACAAAGGTGCTGCCATGAACATTCTCATGTTCTCTTAGTGCACTCAGTGGCAATTCATGACAAAATAAGAAGCTCGTGCCAGAATTTAAATCATCACACTTATTAAGACAGTTTTGCTATTTATTTTTAAAAATCAGTGATGGGCAGCAAAAAGTAATTTTAATTTTAAAAAGTAAAATAAAATAAAAGGCAGCTGAATTAAACATCATTATAGAGAAATATGGCTGACTCTTGGATAGTGTGAGGATTGATGCACTGACCCCTCACCCCCCAACCCCATGCAGTCAAAAATACATGTATAACTTTTTTTCTTTCTTTTTTTTTTTTCTGAGAGATAGGGTCTTGTTCCGTGGCCCCTGGTGGGATGCAGTGGTATGATCATGGCTCACTACAGCTCAAACTCTTAGGTTCAAGCAGCCCTCCTGTGCCTCAGCCTCCCTAGTAGCTGGGACTACAGGTGCCCACCATCATGCTTGGCTAATTTTTAAGACGTTTGTAGAGATGAGGTCTTGCTATATTGGCCAGGCTGGTCCTAAATTCTTGGCCCCAAGTTATCCTCCCCCATCAGCCTCCCAAAGAGCTGGAATTACAAGTCTGAGCCACTGCATCCAGCCCATATATAATTTTTGACTCCCCCAAAATTTAAATACAAATAGCCTATTGTTGACCAGAAGCTTTACCGATAACATAAATCGTTGGTTAGCATGTCTTCTGTATATTTGTCATATACTGTATTCTTACAATAATCTAGAGGAAAGAAAATATTAAGAAAATCATAAGTAAGAGAAAATATATCTACTATTCATTAAGTGGAAGTAGATCATCATAAAGATCTTCATCCTTGTCTTCACATTGAGTAGGCTGAGGAGGAGGGAGAAGGAAGATGAAGGATTAGTCTGGCCATCTCAGGGGTGGCAGAGGTGGGAGAAAATCCACGTATAAGTGAACTTGTGTTGTTGCTGGGTGCAGTGGCTCACACCCATAATCCCAACACTTGGGGAAGTTGGAAGCATGAGGATTGTCTGAGCCCAGGAGTTAGAGACTAGCCTGGGTAACATAGCAAGACCCTCTGTCTCCTAAAAATAAACAAAGATTAGCAGGACATAGTGGTGCACACTTGTGTTCCTAGCTTCTTGGGAGGCTGCAGTGAATTTGCTACCACACCACAGCATGGGTGACAGTGTGAACTTGTCTGAAAAAGAAAGAAAGAAATAATTTAATTAATTAATTAGAAAAACAAAACAACAACAACAAAAAACTAGCCCAGCATAGTGGTGTGCGTCTGTAGTCCTAACTACCTGGGAGACCGAGGTGAGAGGATTGCTCAAGCCCAGGAAGTCAAGGCTGCAGTGAGCTATGATCAAGCCACTATAGTTCAGACTGGACAACAGTGTGAGACCCCGTCTCTTTAAAAAGAAAACAAAACGCATATTATTCAAGGGTCAGCCATAGTTGGTTTACATTGTGGTGCAAACTCCTTATCCTGTTGCAAACCAGTCAGCAGGTTTGAGGACATAGAGGAGTTTCTCAAGTACCTATGAAAGGGATTGCTGGGGCACAGGGTATATGCATCTTTAGCGAGTACTGCCAAATTGTTTTTAGAAGGTATACCACTTTAAATTCCCCCAAGCATTGCATATTTCTGTTGTTCTATGTCCTGACCAACACTGATCATTCATCTGTTACTCTGTTTTGTAGAAGTGAGGAATTTGTTTTTTGCCCATTTTTGTTTAACAAAAGTTTATCACTTTGGTTTTTTAAAATTATTTTATTTTTATTTTTTTGGGACAGAGTTTTGCTTTTATCTCCCAGGCTGGAGGGCAGTGGTACAATCTCGGTTCACTGCAGCCTCCACCTCTCAGATTCAAGCGATTCTCCTGCTTCAGCCTCCCAAGTAGCTGGAATTACAGGTGCCTTCTGCCACACCTGGCTAATTTTTTGTATTTTTAATAGAGGTGGGGTTTCACCATGTTGGCCAGGCTGGTCTTGAACTCCTGACTTCAGGTGATCTGCCCCTCTCGGCCCCACAAAGTGCTGGGATTACAGGCGTGAGCCACGGTGTCTGGCCTATTTTATTTTATTTTACTTTATTTTTTAAGATAGGATCTCGGTTTGTTGCCCAGGTTGGAGTACAGTGGTGCGATCTCAGCTCACTGTAACCTCCGCCTCCTGGGTTGAAGCGATTCTCCTGCCTAAGCCTCCTAAGTAGTTGGGATTACAGGCATGCACCACCATACCCAGCTAATTTTTGTATTTTTAGTAGAGACAGGGTTTCACCATGCTGGCCAGGCTGGTCTCAAACTCCTGACCAGGCTGGTCTCAAACTCCTGACCTCAGATAATCCGCCAGCCTCTACTTTCCAAAGTGTTGGAATTATGGGCATGAGCCACTGCACCTGGCCTTATTTTATTTTTTTGAGATGGAGTCTCACTCTGTTGCCCATGCTTGAGTGCATTGGTGCACTTTCGGCTCATTGCAACCTCCGCCTCCCGGGTTCAAGTGATTCTCCTGCCTCAGCCTCCTGAGTAGCTGGGATTACAGGCGCACACCACCATGCCAGGCTAATTTTTTTTGTATTTTTAGTAGAGATGGGGTTTCACCATGTTGGTCAGGCTGGTCTCGAACTCCTGACCTCATGATCCCGCCCACCTCGGCCTCCCAAAGTGCTGGCATTACAGGCGTGAGCCACCATGCCCAGCCTAATTTTTGTATTTTTAATAGAGATGGGTTTTTGCCATGTTGGCCAGGCTGGTTTTGAACTCCTGGTTTCAAGTGATCTGCCCACCTTGGCCTCCCAAAGTGCTGGAATTACAGGTGTGAACCACTGCGCCTGGCCATACTTGGTTGTTTTTTTTTTTTAAGAAAGAATAGAAAATCACTTTTTCTCTCTCACCCCTCGGATTTTCTCCACTGGTGAATTTCTTCGGCATCCAGTTTTGTTATCTGTATCAACCTATATAGCTATCTAAATTCACTTTTTTTTTTTTTTTTGAGACAGTGTCACACTCTTGCACAGGCTGGAATGCCATGGCACGATCTTGGCTCACTGCAACCTTCACCTCCTGGGCTCGAGCAATCCTCCCACCTCAGTCTCCTAAGTAGCTGGGTCTACAAGTGCACGCCACCTTTGGCTAATTTTCGTATATTTTTTAGAGAGAGCATTTCACCATGTTGCCCAGGCTGGCCTAGAACTCCTGGACTCAAGTGATCTGCCTGCCTTGGCCTCCCAGAGTGCTGGGATTATAGGCGTGAGTCACTGCGGCTGGCCTTTCCACTTTTTTGGGGTGCAATTTGGATCGTACAGTACATACTGTTCTGCCATTTACTCTTTTTATTTAATATGTAGTGGATGTCTTTCTACTTCAACGTATAGCTGGTCTGGAGAGGCCTTCAACCTCACTTGTTAGTGACCTTAAAAAGGTATGGCTGGTACTGGGAGTATAAACTGAGGTAATCTTATTTGAGAGTGATTTGGCAGTTTGTGTCAGATTCTTTTGTTACTTTTTGATCTGGCAATTCCATTTCTAATAATTTAGTATAAAAATACAAATAGGGAAATGCAGTTGAAGTAGGAAATGGTCATTCCTTAGGTGTCAGTCTTCCTCAGGGGTCCCCTTGAAGCATTCTAATGCCTTCCTGTGGGGCTAGGGCAGCGCTCAGAAGACTGCCAACAGATGGCATTTTTTAGGACTTGGAAGGAAAAAAAGTTGCTTGTTTTCCTTGGGTGATTACTTTCATTATCCAGACAGGTTAATGACTATTTCCTACATGTGGGATAATTACATTTTTTCCATATGGAAACTATGTGCTTGTATAAAACTAACCACCTAAACTCCAAGTCAGTTTTGTAAAAGCCTGTAAACCTGTATACATGTGGAATATAGAAACTCAGAATAATAGCCCATGTTGAAGTATATTAGAGCTTTTAGAATTGTCTAAATAGTTTCTTTTACTCTTAATATACCTTGCATTGTTTCTGTGGATTTATGCATAGTCACTCAGTTTCTCCCTCTCCCTCATTTCTTCATCTCCCTCCAGGATAATTGTTATAAATGTAAGGATTTGAAAACAGTTTTACTCACTCTTAAATTGTAGTATAAAATTTCACATTGCTTAGAGAAAGAAAGTTTCATGTTATTTAGTCTCCTTATTTTGGGGATGGGGCACTCAGGCATTTGGTCAGATTGTTGTTTTCCATGGTGATCAACAGGTCTGAAAAAGGGGGAAAAAAAGCTCTGAAATTTTTTATAGCATTTCTTGCAATAGATATAGAAGGAAGGTGGGTGTGGCTTTTATTTTCTCAAACTTAAAAGAAGAGAAAGATTGAGATAAAAGAATAGAAAAGACATTTGTTTGAGGCCAAACCACCAACAATTTGGGAAAAAAAATTTTTACATTCGATATAATGCTTGTAGCAAACCAAGATAAGCAAAATAAATTAGGCCAGGCATGGTGGCTCACACTTGTAATCCCAGCACTTTGGGAGTTCAGAGCGGGAGGATCATTTGAGGTCAGGAGTTCGAGACCAGCCTGACCAACATGGTGAAACCCTATCTCTACTAAACACACTATAAGAATAGAAAGAAACAAAATAAAAGTCATCTATAATTTTGTAGCCACAAGATTAAATGCTAACATTTTGTTATGTATCAGTTGTCTAGGGTTTAAAATCTTTATCATACTGCTTTGTAATGTGCTTTTATTTATTTATTTATTTGGGACAGGGTCTTGCTCTGTCACCCAGTGTAACGTGCTTTAAAAAGTTATTTAAAAGTTTAAGTCTATATACAGTACATGAATACATTCAACTTGTGGATTATGGACTTTTTTTCAGGTTTAAATATATTCATCTATATCACTGCTATTGAAAGCGTGGCTTACAAATGATAATCTGTATCCTTTGTTTCTAGTCTTTAATGACTTAAGCATAGAAATTCAGAGTGTTTGGAAACAATTCTAGCAATTGGACATTACCTTTTATTTTTAAAATGAAGTAATGAAAGTTACATAGTGGCTTATGCCTGGGACCCACACTGTGAGGGGCCAAGGCAGGTGAACTGCATGCCCAAGAGTTCGAGACCAGCCTGGGCAACATGGTGAAACCCTGTTTATACAAAAAGTACAACAATTAACCAGGCATGGTGGTATGTGCCTGTAGTCCCAGCTACTCAGAAGGCTGGGCTAGGAGGATCATTTGAGCCTGGGGAGGTCAAGGCTGCAGTGAGCCATAATTGTACCACTGCACTCCAGCCTGGGTGAGAGGGTGGGACGCCATTTCAATTAAAGAAAAAGAAAATTATGGGTTTATGTATTTTTTATTTCACTTTCACAGTAATTTTTTTTTATTGGATTCTTATAAAAGTTGTGGTCCTTGATGGATTGGGAATTTTAAGAAAAATCTTATACCCCAGATAGTTTGAAATAAACTATAATAATTTTTTTTCTTCCTTTTAGAGACAGAGTCTTGCTTTGTTGTCTAGGCTGGAATGCAGTGGTGCCATCTCAGCTCACTGCGACTTCCACCTCCCAGGTTTAAGTGATTGTCGTGCCTCAGCTTTCCAGTAGCTGGGATTACAGATATGTGTCACCACGTTCGGCTAATATTTTTGGTATTTTTAGTAGAGATGGGTCTCCTCATGTTGGCCAGGCTGGTCTCTAGCTCCTGGACTCAAGTGATCCGCCTGCCTGGGCCTCCCAAAGTGCTGGTTTTAGGTGTGAGCCACTGTGCCCAGCTAAACTATGCAATTTTTAATAGCTACAAATAATGCTATTGCCCGGCGCGGTTGCTCAAGCCTGTAATCCCAGCACTTTGGGAGGCCGAGGCGGGTGGATCACGAGGCCAAGAGATCGAGACCATCCTGGTCAACACGGTGAAAACCCGTCTCTACTAAAAATACAAAACATTAGGTGGGCATGGTGGCGCGTGCCTGTAATCCCAGCTACTCTGGAAGCTGAGGCAGGAGAATTGCCTGAACCCAGGAGGCGGAGGTTGCAGTGAGCCGAGATCGCACCATCGCACTCCAGCCTGGGTAACGAGAGCGAAACTCCGTCCCCCCAAAAAAATAATAATAATAATGCTATTATAACATGGGTGGGTTGTAATTTATTATTTCACCAGTTCCTTTTGTGGAAAGTTTGGGTTTCTTTTTCTTTCTTTTCCTTTTTTTTTGAAATAGGGTCTCACTTTGTCACTCAGGCTAGAGAGCAGTGGCGTGATAACAGCTCACTGCAGCCTTGAACTTGTGGACTCAAGCAGTTCTCCTTTACCTCTAGAGTAGGTGTGACCACAGGCGCATGTCACCACAACTAGCCAATTTTTTTATTTTTTGTGGAGATGGTATCTATCTCACTTTGTTGCCCAGGCTGTCTTTTCTCTTTTTAGAGACATGGTCTCACTCTGCGGTCCAAGCTGGAGTGCCGTGGTATGATCATAGCTCACTGCAGCCTTGAACTCCTGAGTTTAGGTGATCTTCCCATGTAGGTGAGATAGGTGTGAGCCGTCACACCCAGCAGAAATTTGGGTTACCAGTTAATTATCTTTGTGTATTTATGTTAGTTTTCTAGACACATTTAGGGAAGAATGTACAAGCCTTGAAGTTTCTTGTCTGTATTTTGTTCACCACAGGTTTCAGCCGTGCCACAGAGCTCCGGCAGTCATGGGCCCACCATAGCAGCAGTTCATAGCAGCCATCATCACCCAACAGCTGTGCAGCCCCACGGAGGCCAGGTGGTCCAGAGTCATGCTCATCCAGCCCCACCAGTTGCACCAGTGCAGGGACAGCAGCAGTTTCAGAGGCTAAAGGTGGTATTCGGCTCCTTTTCTTGAGTCAAAAAGTTTATCTTTAGCAGGAAATATTGGCTGCTGCTTATCGGTTGTGGTGGTGTGACTTTTAACCTGAGATACTAGGTATTGAATCTCAAGTTTTACCTTGTTTTTGCTTTGTGAAATTTGCTTACGTTTCCTATCTTGGCACCAGTGCCTGATCCAGAGAAGAATATACTCAAATGTTTGTGGATTGTATGAATGCTTGTCATTTAAATGTTATCAGGATTGAGGGGCCATTTTCATACAAAATAAACCTTAAAATCCATTTTTTGGCTGCTTCCTTTTGAACTCTCTATTGAGCACACGTATGGTTGGCTACAGGTTTGTTCAGTAAATTGGCCCAGTAATATTGTTATTAAATCTTTTTTTTTTTTTTTTGAGACAGAGTCTCTCTCTGTCACCCAGGCTGGAGTGCAGTGGCATGATCTTGGCTCACTGCAACCCATACCTCCCAAGTTCAAGCCATTCTTCAGTCTCAGCTTCCTGAGTAGTTGGAATTACAGGTACACGCTGCCATGCCCGGCTAATTTTTTGTATTTTTTTTTTTTAGTAGAGATGGGGTTTCACCATGTTCCTCAGGCTGGTCTTGAACTCCTGAACTCAGGCAGCCCACCCGCCTTGACCTCCCAAAGTGCTAGGATTACGGGCACTTTATTTAAAAATATTTTAATTTTATTTTTAATTAAAAAAAAAAAATTTCTAGAGATGGTGTCTCACTATGTTGCCCAGGCTTGTCTCAAACTTCTGGCCTCAAGTGATCCTCCCATCTTGGCCTTCTAAAGTGTTGGGATTACAGGTGCGAGCCACCATGCACAGTTCATGCCTATAACGTTTTATTACCTTCATCTTTTTATTCCTGTTTATGAATAGCTGGACTGACTCACATCTTCAGGTCCATGCTTAGTAAAACACATGCTCCTTTTGGGGGGAATCTTTATAAAGTTTGGGGAAAACTATAACTGTGAATGAATTATCAGTGTTTTCTTATTTCCTGCTGAGTATGTGTGGTAAGTTTCCAGTGCTTTGAAATTCTTGAGGCATCTGTGGAGAAGTGAAGCTTGTGTTCTCAGCTAAGCTTGTGTCTCTGACAACTTGAATGTTACCTTTCAAAATGTATGATTGTTGCAGCAAGTGTTAAGGTTTCAGTTTTTGATTTTATGTTTATGTAAAATCGAGTTCAGGAAATAATAAATGGAGGAACTCTGAAGTGATGTTAAGTCTTGATTTGGTTATAGTAGCCTACTTAAGTTGCTTGCAGGCAGGAATGAGCAATAAACCCTTGAAGGACACATCCATATGCAGCAATAGTTCTGTCTTCTGTTTTCCCTGACACTTATTTAGTTCTTAGTGATCCCTGTCCTCATTGGTGTGGATTCTTGGGAACTTGTTTAATATTGGCCTAAGGACATTAAATGCCACATAAATATTATAAAGTACAGCAAAGCTAAGTGATGTAGAGGAATTTTGTACAATGTACTCTCTATATTGGCTTATATAATATTGACTAATGCATGGTCTTTAAAGAGAGTACAGATTTTTTAGGCCTGAAGCTTCACTCTGGATTCTGTCTTTGGGAAAATGTGTCTAGGGAATATTGTCTGTAAGGAATTTTTTAAGATTTTCCTTAAAAAATTTCACTCTCTTGTAAAGTGATGGCTGTGTACCAAAACGTATTATTGCTGTGGGAGTAGCACTTTAACTAAGTCCTGAAAATACATATTTTTTTAAACTTGGTTGCAGGTGATTTCTCTATTAACACTATGTATTGAGTGGTTACACTTTAATGTTGCAAAATAGCTTATAAACTTGGTATTAAACTAACAAAAACATATTTATTTCTATAGCCTTTTTCTTTTTCTTTTTTTTTTTTTTTTT